TAAATAAAATATATTATTATTATTACCGGTCGAAGATTTCTCAATATGCAGTAGGCTTATACAATATTTCATGGATGCAAGCCAAGACAATCAGTAGTCTATAGCAGCATTTCTCAACCGGGGTGCCGTCAAATTATTCTATATTCTGACGTTCATATGAATACGTGATCGTTAAAGAGCCGTCTGTTTTCGATTCGATGCGAGGAAATGCTTTTGCCAGCCAAAATATTTGTGATACATGTTTTGAATGATGAATACTGGACATAGTAAGCTTAAAAACAGTTTAGTGACCATTGCAAATGACAAATACATATTATAATTTGAGAACCCCCTCAAATGTGGCTGTTGAGGCCTTCAGGGGGGCTCAGGTGTTAACAGACCCCCCCCCCCCCGTATTTTGCACACTGGTTTGGATGCGGTCTTATTTTCTAGGAAGGTGTCTACAAACAGTGGCGGATATTGATATGGGCGACATGGGCGGTTACCCAGGGCGGCATTTTGACTGGGGGCGGCACAAGCGCAATGAAAACAAACGTTGTTGTGGGTCGAAGGGGGCGCGGTCGCCCTTATGACAGCAGGCAGCTGGGAGGGAAGGTCTCACACTCAAAGAAAGGCGGAGGTGATCTCAGGTTGCCTCACTATGGGGGAGAGAGAGGAGGGGCGGCGGGTAAACTATCTCTATCAAATAAACACTTTCGATGTTTATAAAGTAGTATTTAGTCAAATTAATCTCACACCTCGAAATGCCACCAAAATCATTCATACAATATATATAATATATTTTTTTCCTGGCCTGGGTTGTATGAAACAATAAATAATTATTTAAAAACTGACTACGGCAAATTGGTATAGTCTTGACCTGTAGTTGACAGTGTTGGGGGAGGGGATGCATTGATTCTCGGGTTGAAAATTCATACTAACAGTGATGGAGAAAAAAAGGCACAAGGCATCAGGTGCCCAGTTTAGAAAGAAAAGGAAAGAAGAAGAAGATAAATGCTCAAAAGATAATGTTATGCACCTAACATCTCATTTATTTAGTTGGTCTTTATTAAGCATGTCATTAAATTATCCTTACCTCCATTGCTGCTTGTTAGCTGCCTGTGTTTCGTCGTCAGTTCAGCAACTAACATTGGAACTATTGAGGGATGTAGTGCTGATGCCGTAAAGAAGTGAGTTGCAGTAGTCATGGATTAGTCGTTCGGCTGCGGGGCGGGTGAGAGAGGGTCGGATTTTTGCAATATTGCGGAGGTGGAAAAATGAGGTTTTGACTGTTTGGCGGATGTGAGGTTTGAGGGAGAGGGTGGGGTCAAAGATTACGCCAAGGTTGCGTGCCTGATTGGATGGGGGAAACAATGGTGCCATCGATGGTGAGTGTTATGTTAGTGACCTTGCTGAGGGTGGATTTGGAGCCGATTAGGAGTTTCTGTTTTCTGTTTTGTTTAGTTACAGAAGAGTGCATAATCCTGATGTCAAGACTTCTATAAAGTAGGCTAAACTGAGTTTTTGTTACCTGAATCTTGTCTCATCAGACTGTTAGTGATTCCCTGCTTTTTCCCAGAGCTCAGCAACTCATTGAATTTAAACTTATTTTGAACTGATATGAATCATGGCCAAAACTTCTATCAACATGCAAGCTATCCCTTTTTACATACGATTTGTCGGTGCGGCTAATAATAATGGCAGCAGCTGTAACAGTATTACAGAGCACTAAAGACCTGTCTTGAGAATCTTGATATTGACTTTTAGCCAGATCCAGTTCACGGAGGTCCTATTATTAGACATGTGATATTGTCAGCTCCATAATCGGCAGTGTGTTAGTCATGTGCTGAAAAACATGATAGAAATTATGCAGAGCATCCTCCCTTCCGGCAATAAGTGCAGTTTCAGCTTGAAGCAGTAAGCAAGCAGCAGTGTGTGAAGCTGAGTGTGTGTGTAGGTGGTTATTTGTAAACATTTGTAGTTAATTTAGACCAAACAGTCGATTCATTATAGGAAATGGCTGCAACCAGATTATTAGTTAGAATTGAAAGTACTTATTGCCTGAGATCGCATGCTGTGGTTTTATTAAATGTGCCAAGTGCTAGGACTGTCTTAGGGAAGAAAGCTTTCAGATGTGCAGCTCCACTAACATGGAACAGTCTGCAAAAAGAATGGAAAATTACCAAGCTAGTACCACTACATGTTTTTAAAGCTCGGTTGGATGCTACAAAATCAGATGCTGTTGGTACCTGTACTTGTGGTTAGATATAAATTGTAATCCCTGTACATTTTGCTGTATGATGTCCTTTTGTTGTTCTGTTGTTTATGTTTGTATGTCTTCTTGTGGAACCTACTGCTGCAGGTCTCCCTTGAAAAAGAGATCATTGATCTCAATGGGATTTTACCTGGATAAATAAAGGTTTTGAATTGAATTGAATTAGAAAACTCTATATTAAACATGTACCAAGAAGATATTTTACTTTAGTAAGAGTAGTTATATTTAAGTAAACAGTTTGCATTAAAATAAACTTCATGTAACCAAAGTAAAAGTACTTGTTGTGTGTTATTGCCCATTTCAGAATATATATTAAATGATTGGTTTATGATACTATGATTTTCGATGCATCAATCGCTGATTATTGTAATTACTTCATCAACTGCTGATGGATATTATAACCTATAAGATTATGTCAATATGTTTATTTGTGAGTGGATTTATATATTTTGTATTGGTAAATAATCAGAATCCGTAAGGTAACATGTAATATTATATAATAATAAGTTTTCCTATATACAGTACTTGAGTGTACTTCATACATTCCATCAATGAAATGTACATGAAACAGTATGGCAAATACTTGTGTGTGTGTGGGCGAGTGTGTGTGTGTGTGTGTGTGTGTGTGTGTGTGTGTGTGTGTGTGTGTGTGTGTGTGTGTGTGTGTGTGTGTGTGTGTGTGTGTGTGTGTGTGTGTGTGTGTGTGTGTGTGTGTGTGTTCTCCACTGGGAGGCAGTGCTCCTCTATGAAGGAGACAGATTGTCAGCAGTTCCGTTTCTGGAAGCCATCTGGAGCTGACATTAAACACACATAAACAAACACTGAGCCATTAACAAGCTATAGCACCAGCAGTAGCAGGGCAGCCTGACAGAGAGGGCTATGAAACACACATCAATGTTTTCACACACTTCAAGGCTACTTTATGTTAGCCTTTCTGTCACATAATCAAACAGATTTTCAGTTGTGTTCTGTTACAGAACAGCCCAATCAGTGACTTTAAGTTCCCAACACTGATAATAGGATTTTAATTTTTAGATCTGAAGACAAAAGTCTGGTAAATGTAACATCAAATCAGAAAACACCATGAAATACTTTTTAAATATTCATTTTTATAATTGTGGAGAGCAGGAAACTTTGGATCCTGATGGCTCAGCTGTCCCCAGTGAGCAGTGGAACACATAAACAGCAGAAGAAGACAGACAGGAAGTAAACTCTACAGAAAACACGGTAGCAGTGTTTAAAGATATTGTTGGAAAATAAAACGTGACCAGAAAACCTCCATCAGTGCTGCTTTCATTTTAAGTTACGTTTCTGTTCCCACAGTTTCTTCACAGAGGAACATATGTATTTTTTGAATGAGCAGATAGCAAAAGCAAAACAATCATGATTAAATCAATATGTTTTGTCAAAATACTGATTCACAGGTTAAGCCCCATTCCCCCGCGGAGGGAAAAACGCATCACTGCAATAAACAGCGTCTGAGGGCTTCTTAATATTTAAAAACCTATGAATATGTCATACCCAACCAACGGGAAGAAACTCAGCTACCTGACGATACGAACCATTTTTACCGAAACAAAACACAAGTCTCACAAGAAGCGTCTAAATGAGCCCTGAGCGAAAAAATGCTATCGCACTTAGCACAGAACTCACAGCTTAAATACCCGCATTACTGCAAAAACAAGATATCGATTAGCAAACTGAGATCCCACAGATTCCAGAAATATTAATATCATCACTGAGCGATCCGAACTCGCGACAGGGGAAGCGAAAACAGACATCACAACACGTAGCTGCACGGAGGAAGCTTCTTACCTTAGCTGTTGTTCTGATGGAAATGTGTGTTCAATGGCATCAAAACGATAACAACGCTGCTGAAGGTTAATCCAATGGTTAATCCAATGTGTCTGTGTCACTTTGAAATGATTCCTGATAATCCATCTTCATATTTACTAGTTTGAGCCTAGGTTTCAGTTTTCAGAGCATAACATTGCTTTCGACTGTGTGCGCATAGCTCTCACTTGTCAATGGTAACGTGTGTGTATGTGGAACTTCACCTTCGATTCTATTGGCTCTAACGGTTAAAAATAGGTGTCAATCACCAAAATCGACCAATGGGTTCCAGAGAAACGGCAAAAAAAAATGGCTTCTATGGCAATCCAGGCGGACATCATTGTCTTTAAGAAAGCAGGCTCAGGTTTAAAGCTAGAGCAAAGATCCATCTATTGGTTCCAAACATGTCATGCTAGCTCGTCAGGACAGAGGCTAATGCTTCAAAGTTAGGCTCAAATTGGCTAGGGAAAAAACTGGCATGGACATGGTCAAAGGGGTCCAATGACCCCTAACCTCAAGATATCTGACTGAAATATGCATAACTATCTTGACATAGATGCCCAACCCTTACCAACCCACTAACATATGTGTTAATCGAACACTCGAACACTTGACTTCATTAACCTTGCATGACATAGTCTACGTAACGTTCAGTGTGTTATGTTACTTGCTTAGTTTTAGGCAACACAACTACTAGGTTAGGTTTAGGAAGAGATTATTGTTTGGGTTCAAATCAATACTGTACGTTTGTTATGTATAACACAGTAAGTTGCATACGTAACGTCAGTTAGTATCAGAGGTTGCGCTAGACTTTTTCGCTGCCCGTCATTTTGACGGACATGATCGTAAAATTTCCGTCAAAATCCATTATTACCCGTCGGTCTGTACACAACTGACGGGGACGGGGGACGGGGGGGGGCGGAAGAGCACGCTTGTGCACTGTCAACGGGGGGGGGGTGGGATTAGCGCCGGTGTTATGCCGTGTTGTGCATGCCCACTGCACCTCGCGGGAGCGCGCCACAGCGTAAAACATAAACTCCCAGACATTTCAATGATTTGTACGGCATAGTTAGGTCTGGAAACGACATAAGGGCATAACACCGGAGCCCTGCTGCGGGGAAATTTTGGCTCTGTTCTGAGTTTGTTCTAATCCGTCAAAATAACGGACTGCTTTCAGATTTTTCCGTCATTGTCAAAAGAATTCCGTCATAGACGGAATATATTCGGTTAACGCGACCTCTGGTTAGTATATAGAGTTTCAGTTTCACACATGACACATACGGCTCTCATTTGTTTGACCCATCCACCCCAAACTCCTCCCTATATGAACTTTGTCACGGTGTATTAATTTACTTTCTTCTTCTTTTGCTTTGTTATGATGAACTACAGCCACTGGAGGCAGCCATGAACGTCCTAAACTCATCCTAGCAGCGTTTGTGTGTGTGCCATGTGGTCACTGACCGAGATGCTGTATTTGATGAGTTGGCAGTTAGTAAACCATTATCAAAAGCCTGTTTAAAGGACATGAGCCACCAATTATTTCCTAAGTTGTATAAGGATGCATATGCGCAGTCAAACCATGAATCCTATTTCTGACAATTCAAGGACTCAGCGACATCCCAATCTAAAATTCTCTTCCTGACTTTGACAGGGCTCAGCAGTAACAACATTTTGCAGGGTCCAAGCATTAAGGGGAAGTGGTACAGTAAGTGGACAAAGTGACACAATGACTGGGCCTCTCCCGTCTCCCCATGGCAGGGCAGGTCTGCTCTCAAGCACACAGGCAGGGAAAGCATGCACAGGCATGAGTGTGCATTCATTATGCATTCAGATACATGGTCTGTAGGTAGAGTGCTTTCTCATATGCATGCCAATCTCCCATCCCAATTTATCAAGGATTTTAAACCAGGTTCCACTGGATCCCTTTCAGCACAGACATGCCTACAGCCATAGGAAGAGGGGTCAGGATGGGTCGGAGGGGTCCCCTCTGTATGCCTCATGCTCGTGTTCCAGTCGATTTTCAGGGTCTGCATTCATTCTCAGGATTACACAGAGTACTGATGCAGGATCAGCAGCCAGCTGCCCTGGGGCCGCTTTACTACAATGATCTATGAGGCAGATAGTGGGTCTGGTTTACTGTTTGACACTGTGAATGAGCACAGACCCAAGTGTGAAGGGGAGACAAAAGTAGTGACCCATGCAGCAAAATCCATCACCCAGTAAGCCTTACCCTGTCTTTCACTATGAGACACTTTGCAAGGGGAGGAGACAGACAACGGACACAGAGTTAGACAGGGTTTACACTGGGGGAAATCCTCGGAGGACACAGTTCAGCTCCTCCCCACACAGTACTGTAAATGCCCTGAGAATCAAAGTTAATCAAAAGCATGACCTATCAGGGATTCCCTCTGCTCAGTTAAGTCAGTCATCTATAAGTGGATTTGTACACACTCTGGCTGCGTTCCAATCGGATAGCTTGCTCTCTTGCATCTCATATTGTTGCTTTTCGACCTTTATTTTCCAGCTGGGAAAGGTCTGGCCAATATGGAAGACACTAAACTACCTACTATCATGTCATCATGAGAGATCTCAGTTCCTGATTTGAACAAAGCCAGCATTTGTCAGGGGGAACAAACATCACATTCACAGCATAGAGAAAACACAAAAAAATAGATGCTAACCACTTTGTCCTCCTTTGTGGCATGCAGTCCAGGTAGCAGTGAGAAAAGTGATGGTGGAAGTAAAGCAGGAAAGGAAAGGAGAGAAATAAATGAAAGGATGTGGAAGATAAAAGAAATGAAGAGAGAATTGTTGGGAAAAAGAGGGAAAAGAACAAAGAGGAAAAAGGGTGCAGTGCAAACATTTGTTATTAACATTCTGCATGATTTGACAGACATACTTCATATTCAGTGAGGGGGGGGCATGAGGCGCGGGGGCGGGCAGTATGTGAATGTATGTGACTACTGAAATGTTAGGCTGCGGCGACATGCATGACTCAGCATGACCTTGGCATGAATCAGGACCTGTGACTACATCAAGGATGTGTCACGGCTCCTCAACACCAACACCAAACTGGGACACCAAAACAACATGGAGCGCATCCTTCAGCTACAAACACCTCAACATAATAATCTAATGTTCCCATGGCTGGTAATGAAAGCACTTCAGATGTTGGTGGGAGGGAACACTCGTGTTTTTGAGTTATACCTCAGGAAACAAACTAGTAAGGGCTGAGTGGTTGTTGTTACTGTACAGGGTGATGAATGGATGAAAGTGTAGTCCCTCTTTATTAACAGTAACGTGTGTTCACTATAATGTTAAGCAGGCTGAGACTTTGTGTTTGGCTGGTATTTGCAAATGATGTTGTGATGCCTTCTGCAGGGCACAGAGCAGCACTACAGCTCTGCCATTAGGAACTGATTCATTGTTATAGAAAGCTGAACACAGAACATGGCCTCATACAGACCAGTGTTTAAGAACAATTAGCCCCTAAAGTGCTTCATATATAGTGATTTATAATACATAATCTGAGAGTTGATATTAAAGTGTACTCACTGTCTATTTAAAGAGGACACATTCTGCTCATTGTTAGGTTCATTTTAGTATTGTGTGCCCCTGCTGTGACATGTTAATGTTCTTTAATGTTCAAAAAGAAAGAAGAAGAAGAAATTCTGGAGGGAACTTTGGGATTCAAGCCTTTTCAGACCATTCACATGCAAAGAACCTACAGTATATAACACGCTACAGGAAAAGACAAACCCAGAAAAGGCCTCTTTAATACTACTAAATAAGAATGTGTAGATTCATAGTTGAATTGAGCTCCACTAAACCACATGGATATAGCTGATAAAGCAAACTGTTTTACATGCAGTATATTAAACTCCTAATGTTATGCTGTACAAGCACACACCGTTTATTTGAATGCTGTTTTTTAACGGCAAACTGCAGTAAACCATTGTGCTGCTGATGATGGATAAATAAGCCCACTACAGGCAGGAGAAGATTTGTATGTATTGAAACAAAGCTCACACCTTCCTAACCGTGTTATTCTGCTCGGCTGGCCCGGACGACCCGGGACAGAGGCAAGCACCGCCCCCCCCACACATTCACAACCTTTCACAGATGTAAAAAAAATAAATCCTATTTTGTATATCAATGTTAGACTTAATGTCCACTATTTGATCATAGGCCCATGCTGTAAGTGGATGACAGGAGTACATGATATAAAAAGGGACCAGGTATAGAATATGTTTACTATCTGCTGTCAAACCAGTACAACAATTGTTCATTGATTTATTTTTAAAATCCATAAGAGGACATGTAATTGTTACAGATGATACAATAAATACATAAATAAATAAATAATGTAATTCATTACATCTGCACTAATTCAACCTTTCTTTTGCCTGTGTTCAATTATTTAGGCTCAAATTGCAAATGTATTTGACGCCAAGCAACATAAAAAAGGAATTAAATTCTTTTTTTCTGTTTTTGAGCAAACAAATCCCTTTCCTTTGTGTGTTTCCTTTGCAGATTGCTTTTGCACCAAGCTCGTCTCATGTCTGTGTTTTCATGTAACAGCCTGTCTGCTGTGAAAGTGATATAACACAGGATACTATCTTTATCCCCTGTTCTTCAGAACGTGTGGTGCCAGTGTGAGCTCAGGCCCAGCTGGGCCCGGCGGATCCTGAGCAGATTGGGGACCAGCAGGCCAAAGGATGAAGGGGCCATCGTGAGGGAAGGTACCCAGGGGGAGGTCCTATCTTTGGGCTGGAGCCCATAGTTTTCAAATAGTGTTTGGTTGTATGGATATATCAAATTGGATCAAATTAATAGTTTTTATTGGTTGTATTCGTGTAGGTGTTATTATTTGTAGCGCTGCTCTGTGTCTTCAGTGCATTGTGGGTTTAAGTTAACAGTCTTGTTAGGTTGTTTTTAGCTATGCTGTGACCCAGAGATTTGCAAAGACCTACCGGTTGCAGTAGAATAGTCTTTTTTGTTTAGAAAGGTTAGGCAGCCACGATGAGAGATGTTTGAATTCTCTAGATGATCGGAAAGGAGCTTCAATGCTTCCCTTGTTGTCGCTTTTAGCATAAGATACGCCATGCTTTACAGAAGAAAAGGAAATAATGCCGTCCAACAAAGCTTTGCGGCCCCAATATCTAAAGTGATGCACCATTCGGCTGTTCACCGAATCATCTGATCATGACCGACAATCACAGATGCTTATTGAGTGTCTTCCATCTTTCACCACGTCTCGCCCAAGTGCTCAAACGTTTTCCACTTGTGTTGAACCAAAAGGCGAACTATGAACGTTATGCTAACTAAAGGATCAAATGAAATGAACATGTCACAGTGTTTACAGAGTTGGGTAGGGTTTCCTAAGCTATTTTGTTTGAATCCTACATGTTTGAATGGTGATTTGCACAGTAGACGATGTACAGACCTAAGAAGTAATGCATGTATTGCATATAAAATATTATTAATTCAAATGTTTTCAGACAATTAAAATCTAATTGAGATTTGTGCGGAGTGATATGAGTGAGGGTGGGTGAGGGAGAACAAGCATTTCCTTGTTTTAATTTGATTCAAAAGCCGGAAATGAAATGATATATTTTTCAATGATATCCACGTTGATAAAGCCCACATAAAACCACATGATAACAAAGTAAGGGTAAAGTATGTAGATGCGCTTTCAGACGCTCATCTTAAGAGGATTGTAGTTTTCCCACAGAGGACAGGCTGTGCCGCATCATTATTCATGACATTTGACTAATGAATGTCAAAGGAAAGTGAAGTTGAAAATTGTAAAAGACATACAGTAGGAGGGGATTGTTTTTGACTAGTCGATCGCAGCCACTGTCTGTTATCCCTTATCTTTGAAGCTAGCATAACCAGCTAAAAATTCTACTTAAGAAATGCATCCATATTCCACATGGATGATCTTAAGTGGTTTATTCTTCTAGCATCATCAGGTGGACTTTGATTAGTGACATAAACATTTAAAAACGTATAACATTACTGTCAGTTGTATTATGTGTTTGGTGCCGCTGTATGTAGTGGTGCAAGCTAGCAGAGGAGGTAACCATAGAAACAAAACGTAACTAGCAGTCTCACCGCAAGGGTCTTTGCACAACCTCGTGGGGAGCAAAGAGAAAATTGCTTATCATGTGAAATTCAGCAAAAGACACAAGTTGTATGCATCTAGTGTTGTTTTCTATGACGGTAATAAAGGTGCATAAGTAGCTTTTGCTAAAAGTCAGTAATGTAATGAGACTGCAATATTTTGAATCCCAGATAATGTATGATGATACATATCTTAGAGCCAGATTCCTAAAACACAGCACTCTCACTGTCCGACATGCTAGCTTGATGCTAACTGCTGTGCTCTCATGTTCAAGTGAGGTAAACGCTTCGATTTGTAACAATTCAGCAACACGACAGCCTGAGAGTCGAAATGAGCTTTGAAGGGTCTATGACTGGTGCCAAGACAAACAACAAACAAAATGTGACCAGGAAGCAACAAAGCAGACGGTAACACACACAGAAGCAGAATCAGCTACAGCGGGGATGAGGTGAGTGTGAGAGGGGGGGAGGGTTCGGGAAGGTGTCTCACATTGTTGGAGCGCAGAGAGACCCGCCCTCCGCAGCGAGCACAGAATTTGGTCTGGCAGTAGGAGCAGAGGTGGCCGCAGCCGTCTGCAAACTTGGTCTTGCGGCAGATCCCGCAGGTGGGCGCGTCGTCCTTCAGCTGCGGGGGCTGGCGCCGGGTATCCCCCCCGATGCGACGCACCTCCTGTTTGTAGCTCTCAAACTGCTGGTGCAGTGTTCTAAGAGGAATCAGAAAGGTTGCCCATTAGTGGAACATCACAAACTTTTTATACTTGAGAAACTTTAACCTCCAGCGCTCTTCAGACAGATCTTCCTCTCTAAATGCCCGCACATTCATAATAACAAAAGGACGTGGTGAAACGTCTGAATAACTGAATAATTGTGCAGATAAATAACAAAGGCGATGTTCTGCACACATGTTTGAGAACATTCCAGCGAGATAACTGGCAATTACAGCACCACTTGAAAGGTGCCTTTCAAAAAAAATCAGCAATTAAATAAAACTTCAGCTCAGTTTTGCTCTCAGCCTTTCCCCTCCCTGCTTCCCGGGATGCCTATGATGGAAATAATCAGAGTGTGAATTGCAAATCAGGCCATGTGAAAACACCCTCGATGTTGTTTCAACAGAAGTGTCAAAGGAATAGTGCATTAGCATACCATGGCTCTCATATAGGGGACCCAGACAGCCACTTTAATCACCTCGCTGAGTGAGAGGGAGAGGGCGGAGATGGAGCTGCTTTCTCAGCTTTTTGCAGCCAATTTGTGGAGGCAGTCACACTTTAGTGAAGTCTCTGGCAGCAGCACACTGGCTTTACACTCTGCAAGTTATTTGTCCAAAGGTATTTATCATGATAATGCAATGCACTGGCATTCACACGTACTTTTGTGGAATTAAGATAAGAAAGTGGAAGGTTGGTTAGCAATAAACTGAACACCTCCTGCACACTGTTTCATGATTCAGAGTGAGAAAAATCAGTGCCATTTCTGAAATATGACTGTGAAAGAGCAGCTGAAGTCTTAAAGCACACGTTCCAAGATCTCAAACTAACATTCAACGTCCTTTTTTGTGCCGAATTCCAAAATCATTGGACTGATGATAAGGTAGGTCACCTGGATCCATTGAAAGCAGACATGTCCTCCTTAGTTGCTGGGTAGAAAACAGCTGGAAAACATAACACCTGATCTGTTGTCAGCTGATTCTGGTGATGGAAAAAGTCAAACAGAAAGCCCTCATTCACCATGACCTATCGGAAGTCCAGGAGAGATAGATGTGTCTTTAGAAATACTATTCAAGATGAAATGTTATCTGATTCCCAAAAAGTATTTCTTTCCAAGTTTCCAAATCCAGGAAATGAGTTGACAGAAACTGTTACATTCCTCCTATATTTCTTGCTATCTATTAACATTGCTGGAACAGACACAGAGGCACAGGGAGGTGACTAGAGCACTGAGATACATTCAGCCAATCAGCTGACAGAGTTCATTTTATGACGTAGAATGTTAAAAACAAAAAGGTAAGGAATAATTTATGGAAAAATACACATTGATGTCAAGGTTAGAAAATGATTTGCAAAACACAACTTTAGGCGGATATTTTTGAATAATATCACATCTTATATACCTTTTTATCAAATATTTGGTGAGTAATGTTTAAGATCAAATGCTGAAGGTATGTTGTGCCTGAAGGGGGCTTTACAACCAGCTGTAATAACCTAAAGGCTCATGATCAAAGCTTCTGTGGCAACTATTGTGATAAATGATCGCTGTTAAATGAGAGCATCCTTTATACCTTCACACCCATTCTGATCTTTTTAACATAACCAGTTTGGACTGTGCTAGACTGGGGAAGAAGGTTTAAAAAATAATTAAGTATAGACTGTTATAAAGCAGCCACTAGAATAGTAGAACTTAGACACAACCAGATGTTTCAAGTGACTGCACATGCAGACGTACTGAGAGAATCTGAATTGTTGTCTTGTTTTCGCTCCAAACTGTTAGTATTTGACTAATAGTACAAACAAATGACAAATGGATAACCTCAGGCAAACTGATTCATACGTCATTTAAATGGAAAAACAATATGACACCGCCGCGGCAGCAACGTCATAAACATGACCTCTGACCCCCAGGAGCCATCTATCCTGCCAATAGGAGTCCAGGAGCTGAGCCAAGCCCAGGCGCCATGGGAACAGCTGTCAGAAACAGAGGGTGTCATGGTAACGTGGTGGCGTCAAGCGCTGGGTGTCAGCGGGTGTCAGTGCGCCAGCTGTTCCTGTTCTTAGAGCCACGGATTCATCAGTATTTCTGCCTCTTCCACACATTCAGCAGACATGCACCACTAAAGCTGCATGGGGGGACTTTTTCATATAAAAATAAGTCTGTGTTCTCGGCTTAAATCCGTTGAGATTTTGGGAGGGTCTCATTATCTTTGAAAATCTCTAGATATAGTCTGGTGACAGTTTTATTTGAGGTTTCCTGCCTCTTTGGGATAAAAAAACAAAACAAATCTCTAAAAGGGGACAATTCAGCCAAAAACTGACACACCACTTGAATGACACAGACATTTACTTTATGAATACATAAATTCAAAATATAGAGTGTTCACCAAACATGTGCAAACTCTTTGTCACAGACAGACACTAGCCAAAGTGTGAAACCCACGACATATTGAAAGATGATGTGACAAGCCAGATTCATCCTATCTGCATCAGCACACAGTTCCATATTTATCATAACTCTCATTTGTATCATGAACACTATCTTAAGGATCATCTTAACCGTGACTCAGCAGGGACCCACACGGATAAAAACATCATCTGTGTGGAAGAACTTTCCTTCAGGTGAGGACATGCTGTCTGTGCTCACTCTGCTATGTGTTCATTGGTGGCCGGCCTGAACCTGCTGCCTCCTCAGGGGTCAGCCACCAGGCCTGGATCACAGATGGTAAAGCACTACATTATTTTGGAGCAGCCGACTGACTATTTCTTCGTTCAATTTCCTTCAAAAACGATTTGACAATATTTGCTTTGCTTGAGACCTGCATAGCGAGGGTCACAACGCACACACACCATTTCGTTTTTTACCTACACTTAGTTTAGTCTGAATCATACTGAGTCATATTTCCTGAACATCAACGTGTGCAAAAGTAAGCCTGAGATCAACTTAGCTGTCACTAACTTCACAGGCAAGTGTTTTCAGTGCAACATCTCTGAGAAGCCCACTGGATGTGTGTGTGTGTGTGTGTGTGTGTGTGTGTGTGTGTGTGTGTGTGTGTGTGTGTGTGTGTGTGTGTGAGAGTGTGTGTGTGTGTGTGTGTGTGTGTGTGTGTGTGGTGTGTGTGTGTGTGTGTGTGTGTGTGTGTGTGTGTGTGTGTGTGTGTGTGTGTGTGTGTGTGTGTGTGTGTGTGTGTGTGTGTGTGTGTGTGTGTGTGTGTGTGTAGTGGATGATGTAAGGCTGAAGGTTGGTGAAGACCATAACAAAGCTCCAGGCAGTTGTGGAAAGTAACTAAGTATATTTACTCAAGTATTGTGCTTAAGTATGTTTTTGAAATATTTTTACTTTAGTACAAGTATATTTTTCTGAAATGGGTCATGATTTTACTTAAGTATTTAAAGTGTATGCTAATTTCTGCTCCACTACAATTCAGAGGTACATTGTGTGCTCCAATACATTTATTAAATACCTTTAGTTACTTTACAGATCTGGATGAATGATGTGAAATCTAATCAAGTGTTAAATCAGACTTTAGTTCCACCTGGAGTAAATCCACAAGCTACCCTGCAGTATACAAAGTCATTCAGACTAGCTGCACCTTCACCAGCTTTGAGAACACTTTCATGATCAATCATTATAAAACATATCATATATATTATTCTGAAATGGACAATTCCGCATTATGAGTACTTTTACTTTTAGTAATTTAAGGATATGTTGATACCAATACTTTTGTACTTTTACTTGAGTAACATTGTGATTGCAGGACTTTTAATTGTAATTCTTAATTTACTAAAGTACAAATATGAGTACTTCTTCACCTATGTCCAGCTCCACACAAAACCCAGGGGATTTCTGGATGTACATGTTGCATCCAGAAACATTGTTACTCTGTGACCAGTAAAAGTCCTGTATTCAAAATCTTATTTAAACGTCCCCTATTATACTCTTTGTCAACAATATATTACAGGTCTCAGATGTATAAAGAACATGTCTCTGAAGTGGTTGGCTGAAACACCAAACAGATCATTACAGTAGCATCCCATAAACCCCTTTGTTTCAGCCCTGTTTCAAAAGTGCTGATTCTGTGTCTGTAGCTTTAAATACTAATGAGCGGCTGCTGGCCACGCCCCTCTGAGAGATGATTGGTTTAAAAAAAAAAAATACAATGATGCTCTAGGACAGTGGTTCTCAACTGGTCAGGCCTCGGGACCCACTTTTTACTTGGTCAATAAATCGCGACCCAACATTTTGAAGCACTCAAATCTATTCAACAAAAAAATCGTGCTGTAATATATACGCTTTTCAGCATACAATATTAATACAAGTGAAGTACAGTGCAAATATCCCTTATATCCCTTCACAGAACTAAAGTATGCTTTTAAAAAGGTTTAATGAGATGATGGAATCAAAGCTGAACTATATAAAAAGACACACATGCTGAAAACCCAACCCCAGCAGGGGGTTTGGGGGGATTGTCCCCCAGGAGATTTTTAGAAATACTAACATAAACTATGCATTCTGGTACACTGAGAAGAAAATAAATACATCTATTACTACCCGACATATTAATAATATTTTATGCCATTGTTTGTTTTTCACTTTGTTCTGACATCTTGCTGCGAGAAGAGTAAAGAGGAGATAGTCTGTGTGACTTACTTTAAATTGTGGGTAAGGATAGATAGCTCCCATTGTTCTGTGACCTGTCAATCATCAAACCGGGGGTCATATTTCATTATGTGTTGATTTCTATCAGAAGTTGTACCCATGGATGTATAAAGAATAGTTCTACCGCAAAGTTATTCTCCGTGGGGACTTCCGGCAACAATCTTGATTCTGATTGGCCAGAAGACTCGGAAAAACATCAGCAAAGATATTTTATTGAGAAGATGATCACTACGTGACAGAAGTTTTCAAAACCGTTTATGGTCTCCAGTACTTCAAGTCCAACGCCTACTGCATGCACAGTGTTAGAACATCGGGCCTTCAAAATAAAAGTTTGACTTTTTCTTCACTCACACATCTGCGACCCACTCGAAACACCAGTTGAGAACCACTGCTCTCGGAGGAGCTTCAGGTGATAAGGTGTGTGTGTGTGTGTGTGTGTGTGTGTGTGTGTGTGTGTGTGTGTGGGGGGGGGTTACCTTGGTTGGTTATGTGACTTCACAAAGTGACCAAAATCTGATCAGCTCATTTTCAGACAGGTTTTTATAGAAATGGATCAGGACAAATTACATAAATACATATTTAAGTATAAAAGACATGAGCAAGTGGATTTTGCATAATAGTTGACCTTTAAGTAAAAGTACAAAAGTATCAGAATCTAAATATACTTAAAGTATCAAATGTAAAAGTATTCCTTATGCGTAATGGACCATTTCAGAATCTTCAAAATTCCCTCTGGAACTCACTCCCACAACCCATCAGAGACTGCACTGAACTCACCACCTTCAAAACACGTACAACACCTCTTCAATCTGGCTTTTAATGTGTGATTGTTGTTTTATTGCTCGATTTTAATGTGACTTTTACTATATTTATTTGTTGTCCTTTTTACTACCTCTGTAAAGCGACTTTGAGCACCTGTAAAAGCACTTACAAAATAAATGTATTATTATTCAATATATTGAGTTACTGGGTTACAGGATTATTGGTATGTTTTTATAACAGCTGGTAAAGGTGAAGCTCATTTGAATAACTTAATACAGTACACTGCTGCTGGATATCTGAACCTATAAATAGACGTCAAATTTTATTTAATCATTTATCTTTATTTTGTATTAGCTAATAATCTAAACCTAAAAAGTAACTAGTAACAAAAGCTGTCAAATAAATGTGGTGGAGTAGAAAGTACATTAGTGGCTTCTAGATGTGTTGGAGTAGAAAGTACATTAGTGGCTTCTAGATGTGTTGGAGTAGAAAGTACATTAGTGGCTTCTAGATGTGTTGGAGTAGAAAGTACATTAGTGGCTTCTAGATGTGTTGGAGTAGAAAGTACATTAGTGGCTTCTAGATGTGTTGGAGTAGAAAGTACATTAGTGGCTTCTAGATGTGTTGGAGTAGAAAGTACATTAGTGGCTTCTAGATGTGTTGGAGTAGAAAGTACATTAGTGGCTTCTAGATGTGTTGGAGTAGAAAGTACATTAGTGGCTTCTAGATGTGTTGGAGTAGAAAGTACATTAGTGGCTTCTAGATGTGTTGGAGTAGAAAGTACATTAGTGGCTTCTAGATGTGTTGGAGTAGAAAGTACATTAGTGGCTTCTAGATGTGTTGGAGTAGAAAGTACATTAGTGGCTTCTAGATGTGTTGGAGTAGAAAGTACATTAGTGGCTTCTAGATGTGTTGGAGTAGAAAGTACATTAGTGGCTTCTAGATGTGTTGGAGTAGAAAGTACATTAGTGGCTTCTAGATGTGTTGGAGTAGAAAGTACATTAGTGGCTTCTATGTGTTGGAGTAGAAAGTACATTAGTGGCTTCTAGATGTGTTGGAGTAGAAAGTACATTAGTGGCTTCTAGATGTGTTGGAGTAGAAAGTACATTAGTGGCTTCTAGATGTGTTGGAGTAGAAAGTACATTAGTGGCTTCTAGA